TTGCCCTCTGTCTCCTGTGGGGACAGGAGGCAAAGGGCAAAGGGGACAGGAGACAAAGGGCAGCGGAGGGGGTTTGGAAGCCTGGGAAGTTGAAAGCCGACAGCGGGCGTGCGAACGCTTTCGGCTTCCCGGGTTTCCAAAGCTGCACCCTCTGCCTCCTGTCTCCGCGGGGACGGGAGGCAGAGGACAGCGGGGACAGAAGGCAGAGGGTAGCATTTGCAGCTTTGGAAGCCTGGGATTTTTTTCCTTTGGCTGGAACAGATTAAATGGTTTTTCGTGCATTCCTATGGGAAATGGACCCTTGACCTATGGAATTTTTGACCTGCATCCGCCGTTCCAATATGGATTAATTCCGTAAGTCGAGGGTCAACTTATTGCAATTGCTTTTCTGCTCACTTGGAACCTCCAAGTGATTTCAGTGTAATATATATCATATTATGTAAAAATGTGTGTGTATGTTTTGTGCCATCATGTCGGCACAGACTTATAGCAACCCTAATAGGGTTTTCAAGATAAGTGAGCAATATTCCTTCTAAGTTATGTGGGTCGCAGCTGTGCAGCACTGCATTGGTGACGCACACCCACAGCCGGTGTTGCTGCCCATTTGGTTTCAGTCACAGCCGGACCCCATGTACGCAGGAAGGACCCAGCACTGTTGGAAAAATAGAGCGAACATTGTGAGATATTTAAGCAATGGTTTTACCAGTTCCCCAGTCAACTGAGCAGGGATTCAAACCCTGTTGTCCAGGATCCTAGTCCTTCACTCCATCCACTACACCAGTGGTCTCCAACCTTGGGCCTCCAGATGTTCTTGGACTTCAACTCCCAGAAATCCTGGCCAGCAGAGGTGGTGGTGAAGGCTTCTGTGAGTTGTAGTACAAGAACATCTGGAGGCCCAAAGTTGGGGACCACTGCACTACACCACACTAGAAAGAAAAACTTACAACCATTTTGAAAGCCAGCTTTGGAAAACCAAAGGCAAAATGCAATCATACAGTTTTGACTGCCCACCAGAGGGCAGAATAACTCATGCACTTACCAGTCTAACCTTTTGAGGTTGTGCAATTCCAGCACAGCCTCTGTTGAATATCTAGGAGCCTGTCTACATTTCAAAAACCCCACGATATGAAGTGTTTTAATTTTAGCAGACTCAAGTCACGTGGTTTTTGAGTCATTTCCTGTGTTCCTACTAATTGAAATGCTTCCTTTTAAAACTGGCTTTACCGTTCACAATGGGTTTAAGATGATTAAGAAAACAGTGTTGATGGCAAAGGAATTTTTTTAGATGTAGGATATGTCCTATGATGCTGAACCACCTAGTTTTCCATGTTTCTTTTAAAATTTCATTTCCTTTGCCATTTCAAAGCCTGCATTATTTTTTACTGTTAATTATTATATAATTTTATAACTGTTTGTTACTTAGTTTTATATTTGGTAATATTTTGTAGTTTGAGTTCTGCCCATTGCTGCCATCTTGAGTGTTTAGCTGTGTGGTTCTTTTTATATTTTATATTTTTATATTTCTATATCTGTGGGTTGGTATGGTGTGCTTGAGTTGATGTTTATTTCACCGTTGGAAACTGCCCAGAGTAGTGGCATGGCCACAAGATGGAGCAGTACAGAAATATAATAAATAAATAAAATCAATCAATCAGTATTATTTAATGACTTTAGTTTTGTCTTGCCTTTCTCTCAATGCAGGTCCGAAGGTATCACAAAAATAACAAGAAGTGTATATTAGTTGCATACTTAAAAAGCAGCTAAGCATATAATAAAAATAAAATAGTACTAAATTTAAATCTTTTTTTAAAAAAAGAGAGAATAGTATAGCATACCCCATTAAAACTTGTCTCGGCAGCTTAGTCAGTTGCTAAAAGTCTGCCTGAAGAGAAGGGTCTTTACCTTCCAAAGGAATGATGGGGGGGCAACCTACCTTTCTGTAGGAATTCAAGAGCCCACCCATCAAATAAAGTCTCTGTCTCTTATTTCTTCACCAGACATTCCTGTAGGAGCAGTAGGACTGAGATAAGGGCCTTCACTGAGGAGATAAAAACCCAAAGAGGCTCATAGAGGGAGATGGGGTTCTTCTACAGGGTTTTATAGGTCATAGCTTTTCCTTTGTGTGGTGCCCAATAATGGACTGGTAGTACCAAAATAGGATGTAAAATAGGAATCATTTGCTCCCTGTAACTGGCCATAACCCACTATCTGGCTGTGGTGATTTGGACCAGCTGAAGTTTCAAAGGCAGCTTTATGCAGAGTGTATTTTATTAAGCCATGTGGGAGGTAACTGAGGCATGTGTCACCATAGCAAAATCGGACATCTCAAGAAATGTCTGTAATTGGCATGTTAGCTTTAACTATGCAAATACACTCTAGTAACTGCTGATATTTAGGAGGCTGAAGAAACTAGAGAACATCCAAGCTGCAAACCTGAGTTTCCAGTGGGAGTCTAAACGTAATCAAAACAGGCTTATTCTCTATTCTGTCTTTTGACTAACTAAGAGCACCACAGTCTTAAGTTTCAATTTG